ATATATTTTTTTTCTTCTACCCTGAAGATGGAGGCGATACGTTCCTCCGAAACATCGGTTAACACCACATATACACGGCGCCAAATCCCAGAAGACTGCTTTCTTCATAGTCACTGCCGTGAAAGCCTCAAATCTTACATAAGCACAGTTTGTTTTCTAATGCGTAAATTATCCTATATATTAAACATAAATAGTCTTAAAGCCGTATACTGTCACATGTTCGGAATCCAGAAGACACTTCCATAGTAACGCTAGAACAGACCGTTGCATAGGCAGCGACAATAGTGATATTGTAGCCCCAACAGTTGGCCATTGCATAGGAATCGCAGAATCAACAAAGCAGCGTTTCCATGGTTATAACAGAGGGTTCATTTGCATAGCAGCGGCCGAGGGTATAAAAAGGGGTTGAATGCATTTGCCAGTCTCTCTCTCTCTCTCTCTCAAGTCTCAATTCTGAGACAGTAAGATATGGTCGCGAGTCCCAAGGGACTCGGACCCGAGAAAGACTGCGCTGGCAAGAGCCAGCAGCATATACAAATGACAGACCCGTCCTCTCGTCGGAGAAGGCGCCCCACAGAAACAAGACCGTAACTGTCAAATGATAATAATTAATATCTGGTCATGAGCCCCAAATTGGGCTCGACACCAAGACTTACTGACTGACTGACCGTCAGTTGCAATGTAACTCTGACTCTGACTCGCCAGACAGTCTCGGGGCAGATGCCAAGAGATACAGAAGAAAGTCTGGGAACAGCCGCTACAGATGACATTCAAAATACAGCAGCTGAGATCAGTGGTACAAGAGTAATTATAACAGTGAAGCAGTGGATAATAATTGTACTCGTAAGTGTATAAGTGAAGCACAATAAAGATTCGTTATTTGTCGTGTGACACACAAAACACGTAACAATATTATGCATATTATCATTCATTGGTGAAATAAATCAGACAGTCATAAGGTCTTTGTTATTCAAAAGAAAATAATAAGAATAATGATGGGATTGGACCCAACTCATATATGTAGAGATTTATTTAAAAAGCTTGAAATACTACCAATCCCATGTGTATATTTGCTCTCACTGATGACATTTGTTGTTAATAATTTGGATAAGTTTCAGACCAATAACTCTGTATATGTCACTGGTACCAGAAGGAATGACCACCTTCATATACCTTCAACACATTTATCATCCTATCAGAGAGGGGTGTATTATTCAGGCATCAAGCTATTTAATACTCTGCCATCAAATATCACATTTTTTAAGAGTGGTAAAAAGAAATTTAGGTTTGTTCTATGAAATTATTTGCAAAGTAACACATTTTACTCAATTGATGAATTTGTCGAGCATGTAAGGGGCTCAAAAGTTAAGAGTTAATAAATGGTCTGTGTGCGTGAATTATATATTCTTGACTCTTGCTTGTTGTAAGTAGTGTAGTAATATGTATGATGTCTGTTTTTGTTACGAATTTTAATATTTTATAATGTAACTGTTTGGATGATATGGCTTGCCAGCGTGTGTGGAATGGCAAGGTGTGAACTTGATTGTGGTTTCTCCATGACCTGTGTGTGTTGTCCTGACAACTTGAGCTATTCTGTCTCAGGCTTGATATTATATTTTATTTGACCAAGGATGAATGATGTGGTCATCATGAATTTGTAATATGTGACATGATTTATATCCAGCCCTATGGGGAGATGACTGGATCCATGAAATGATAAATAAATGTAAATGTAAATGGTATGTGGTACCCCACACAGCATAAAAATAAGTGCTAGGTCACTACTATGCAATAAATGTTTATGTGTAAGTTAAAAGTGACCAGTATGAAAGCATATGAGCATGAAGTCTTGCTTTCTAGCAAAACTGAAGGACTGCCACACCTAAATGGATGGCTTCACCACTCACACACTGTTGTCCTGTGCATAGGTCCATTCATCTTACAACAAACAGAATAAAACACAAGTGCCAAGAAGTTATCCTAATGTCAGGTTTCCAAGCAAGGGTGCCTCACTGAAAGCTGCAATGCTAGACAGGACTATGTAGCCTGGTACAAAGTAAACTACAATCAACCTCCATCTGGCACCCAGGTCTAAAAATGGACTCTCTTTCCATGCCCTGATGACATGGCATTCAGGGTCAATATTTAAACCTTCCTATGTGAACCCCAAGTATACTCTCTGTGTAGGTAGGGTTTCTACTGGCATATCCTGGATATATTTATTTTCAGCTTGTTCAATTTTGTTCTGTACCCATCTTGAGTAACTGACTCCAAGGTACCAAGCCTTTCTTCAAAGGATGATATGATGCTGAGCTGTTCATAAATTCCCTGTTTTTAAGTTACTTGAAGACTCATAATTCCCTACTTTTATATTACTAGAAGATTCACAATTAAGTTCATAAAGCCTGATATTCAAATCCATTAAAAGTCAGCTGAATCTACTCAACATATGTTACCATAACATCCACTTCAATTCTATTATTATTCCCCCAGCTATATGATGACTTCCCAAAATGGACTGAGTTGAAGGTTATATAACCAAACTTCTTTTTGGATATCTCATTTACTTCATGGATGCTATATGAAGCTCCTCAAAATGTAATTTTCCCCAGTCCCCTGTTTATTTCTCCTATGTCCAAATGTCTTCCTCAGTGCTTTGTTCTCAAGCACCCTCACTCTGTGTTCTTTACTTCATAGTGACAGATCATGTACTTTTGAATAATTTAATATTCAAATTTTAAATATGGCATGGAAAGACAAAAAATTCTGAATGAAACTACTGCCACACATGCTCATATTATATGGCCAATTCATGGAATGTAAGCTAAAAAAACAATAAAAACTGTCCTACTGAAATAAAGGGAATTCATAAAAAAGTTACTCTGAGACCTGTATTTTACAATGGGAAAAATTAAAATGTGGCTGCATACAACAGTGAGTTAAGAAATGTGTCAATTACAGAATCTCATCACCTGCAAGTGATTTCTGTTAGAGTAAAAAAATTGATAAACATGGCAAATATTCCTTACCAAGACCAGCAAGTCAAACTTCTTTTCTTCTGGAACATAATTTGGAACTTGCAACAAAACATGAAGGCTAGCATTCACAATGCCTTTCCTTTCTCCAACTAAAGTGCTACCATATGCTGAAAAGAATTAAAGTTAATTTGAGACCATGCAGAATAAAATTATTGAGTTCCTTCCACCCAAGACTTCACATTTACTCCTTCTAGCGCTTACTCTTTACTTACACCAAAGATTATTCTCCTACACACAAATTCTTTATACAATTATTTTCTGTCATGCAGCTAACAACCAAGTATGTTGTACAAACACAACTCAAACAGTCTTATGCATCAGGCTGAAATGGTGCCTTAGTCTTTTATTATCTTGCTTAGTACTTGCAGCTACTGAGTAAGTGCTTGCCATGGTAAGCCACATCTACAGCTATGTCTGCCTGCATAAAAATCAAGTTAAATTACTTTATATAAAACTAAGTACAAAATTTAATAAAATTTATATGTGGCAAACTGTGACATGGTTTGACTAATAGTGGGCAAAAATTTACAACAAAACAACAAATATCAGTTAAAAATTCTTAATAAAACAGGCTATACATGAACTAATGACATCTTAAAAAATAAACATAAAACTACTCTGTCATAAATGCTTTCTATATTCATTTACAAACATCTTAGTATCCACTGCCTTACTTCCAACTTCACCATTTTGATTACAGCTTCAACCAGTGGTGAAACTCTCTTTTCAAATTACATCATCAGTTGGCAAAATTTATGGAAACTGAGACTAGTATAACTATTAATCTGAAAGCAATCAGAGCCAAAACTGGCAGCATGTATATTATAGATAAAAAGGTACAGCTATCCTTGTAACAGGTCTTGCAGGCCCATATGCATGTCACATGTCAAGGTTCCCGCATTTTCTAGAAAATCGGCTCACAGGTATCAGTGAGGTCAGCCTTACATGCCAGCCACCCTTTGCCCCCAGGAAGATTCCTGGTACTTATTTCTGTTAGAGGCTGAGTCAACCCCAGGGCAACAATTCAAATGTAAGGATTATGTAAATTGATAAATCCAATGATGTCATCAGGAACTGAACCTGTGACCTTCCAGGTTGTAGCATAGTGCCTCAACCAACTATGCTACCATATTATAAGAGGCTCCTTCATTACAAATTCTTGTAATGCAGAAATTGTGACTGACCAAAAACTACGATAAGATACTGATCATGAATATAATTTGTATACACACTGTACAGACTCCTTTATTATGGATTCATGCAATGAAAACTGAGACTAATGTAACCGGTGATTTTTAACTGATCATAGCCAAATTCTGTATGTGCAATACAGAGGCTCCTCTATTACAGGTTCCCAAGCCAAAATTTTCATATGCGCTATGGAGGTTTTAGAATGGTAAGATGTGCTTCTTTCACTGACCTCAAACACAAACAATACCACATCCAGACTAAAAGTATCATTGATAATAGATACATTGTGTGTGGGACAGAATACTTAAATGTGCTGACTGCAAGTTATTCATTTGAATCAATCAATAATTGCATTACAAAACATACTTTTTTGATCACCAAGTATAGTCTTTTACCACACTCATTAAAATGCAGAATTGTACACTTACATTCATTATTGAAGTCATGTGTGAGGTTGATTAGCACTTTGAGGGTAGCAAGCAAAACCTCACGAATCACAGTACCAGCTGACATTTTGTCTGCTAGATTTGTCACTGGGTACAATGGAATCTCCGAGTCACAATGTCGATACAGTTTGATCAACGTGTCAATCAACATACCATCCCCATACTTCAAAAGGTATAGCTGGTTTTCCTCATTTTGATTTGTTACCTAGTAACATAAATTAGGAACATTGCTGCTGTAATGAAGCTTCAAATTTTATAATACTGTACCAGGTAGAATGCTAGACCTTCAGTATCAAAGACATGTTCTACACACTTATTATCACCTCTTGCTTCATGACGATACATCTACTCTAAAACTATGAAGAAAATTTATACTAGAAAACAGATGAAAATCCAGGCCACTGATCACATCACTGTATAAAGTAATGGAATGGTGAGATGAAGGCTATGAAATTATGCAATTTCATGTTACTATAGCAACAAACACCGGTCACAGTAGCCGAGCGGTCTAAGGCATGTACTGTCTTTGCTTGCTTGGAAGCTGGAATTGTGGGTTCGAATCCCACTCAGAACATGAATGTCTGGTGTGTGTTTTTCTGTGGTTGTGTTGTCCTGTGTTTAACCCGTTGCCGTGGTTCGACGTGTATGTTTCGTCAGGGATTTAAATCGTCTGGGGGGGTTCGACGTGTATGTTTCGTCCAGCTGCACACCTATGTTATAACGCCCATAATAATTGATGGTTTTGCTGTAGATTGTTAGATTCTTCACTGGCCTGTTGTCACAAGAACGGTTTATAATGAGACACGAGTTTAAGAGCGCTAAGTCTTCGTTACATATGCCTGTCTTGCAGCAAAGTTCCTGTGGCTCTTGCAAGCGGTTTATTCGTTCTACGTTTATGAATGCCATGTTTTCTTTGCTTTGATGATATAAACAGCAGAGACGTGATGTTTATAAAATAATATTGCCCTGAGCTGGCCACTCTAACACACTCAATTGGAATTCTTAGAATAGGGATGTCCATAAGTTTATTTTCGCATGATCCATTGATTTCGCACAGTACAAAGGCCCAGTTCTTAGAAAAACGCCACAATTTAAGGCAGAACACTGTGGTCACCCCCTGAGACGATACGGATGTGTGTGGGGGAGGGAAAAAGAACTCATTCCTTCATGTATTATCGCTCCAGTTGACGCCATTTTATCGTACTGACCTTGGTGGTCGTTTCGAGGGATGACCATAAATATTTTTTTGAGCCAGCTAGGCTCTGCTTTCGTGCACTACATACCGGCCAGTACTTAGAATAACTTCATCAATTCTGTGGTCACCCCTACGACATCTACAGCCGCCAAAATGGATGGAATATCAAAGGCATAGCAACAAACCCTTGTTATGATAACTCGTAACGTTGAATTTACTACAGCTGACCTGGCTAGCAATACGACTCACGGAGAGACATTTCTTCTTATATTCCCCCCACGGGGAAGGCAAGGCCGCACAGAAGATGTTTTGTTTACGGAAAAAGAGCCAGATGAGAGAGATACGCAGTACTGGTATGGTGATGTGAGTCAGCGCTGTGTATAGTAGAATGCTTCAATGCGTGCAACACTCCGCTCAAATTCTGAACCACCACCGAGATACCGGGCGCTCATATTATAAGGCAAAGTTATAAAACAATCTTTTAAGATCATTTTAGTGAAAGTTTCATGCTTCAAGGCGTACGATACACTGCTCAAATTCTAAACCAACTGCTTCCATTGCCGAGATAACGGGCGCTCATATTATAAGGCAAGGTTATAAAACCACCTTTTAAGATCATTTTATTGAAAGTTTCATGATCCTATCTCATAGAATTTAAGAACAATGATGAATAAATCATTTTCGAGCAAAATTTAAATGGCCGGCTGAATATATTACCGCCAGAGAGACGGCCGCGGAATTTAAATCACCGCGCAAAAGGGTTAAGCAGAGGCCCTGTGACGAGCTTATCACCCATCCAAAGACTCCCACCATCTGTAAAATGATCAAGAAACTGAGAAATCAGCTCTATGCTCCAAAGTGGAGCAAAGAGGAGAAAATAGTAACAAACTGTCAAGCATTAAAACATTACATGCATGTAAGTTACAACAGGTCACGAATCAGTGAGCAGTCTTTAGCGTCAGTGTACCACGTCTATTTTGTGAGCAATGATACTATTTCCATGTGGACATGTCAAGTGTAGTGTAGTGTATAAGAGAGTTTACAAGAGAATATTTGTGCACGTTATTCATAGGGGAATATCATGCCAAAGCCAGGGTAAGAGTTAAAGATGATCGGTCTTGTTCTCAAAGTTTGTTATCCTGTAATCCCTTAAGTGGGCAGCCAAGTAATTATCTTCCTCTCTGGATGAGTACTAGATTTCCTTAGGAACCCTACAACTTCCCATTCCAAAAATAAGCTGAACCCAATCACCTTTATGCATATGCGACTACTCTTGCAAAATTTGTTTCTTCTCCAATTGAGATGTGTATATCTTCCAGATTTCCCCACAAATTGAACCTCTGCAGCTCTTAGCAAATCTCTGTTACTACACTGATCTTCATATTTATCTACCATAAAAACACAAAGTCAACCTCTAAGATTTTGTAATTTTTATATTACACCCTCATGTTATCCTTTACTTGTTTCAAAATTCCAATATTTGTAAAGTCATGACATTTGTAACATTCATCTTTCTCTCTCTGATAAAATATTACATCACAATTTTCATACAATCCCTTCTAAGGCTATTTGTACCCTTGAAAACAATTTTATATACACTTTTGCTTGCTGAACCTATCAAGGCTTCACAAAGAGGCTGTGCCATAGCTCAAGTGTTAGTCGCTGGCTTACCACCGCGGCAGCCCGGGTTCAATCCCAGGTCTGGTCAAGTGGAATTTGTGGTAGACAAAGTGGCGCTGGGGCAGGTTTTCTCCAAGTACTTTGGTTTCCCCTGCCAATCTTCATTCCACCAACTGCTCCACAATCACCCTCACCTATCATCTGGGGCTGGTACAATAGGCCAGAAGTGGCCACAGTACAAGGGACTTAGTCCCACCCCACTAGTAATAGAAAAAGGCTTCACAAAAATCCCTTTAGCTATCTTTTTAACAGTTTCTGACAGACCTTACAATGTGCCTCAGTGGTAAGAGTAATCATGTTCACTGGCTGTCCCCTCTCAGGACATGAAAAATAAAGATGTGAAATAACTGACCACTGGAAAGATAGAGTGAGGAATGGTGCACAAACATGAGAAAGAAAACAGTAGTCACAGATATAAGCAAAATGCTTATGTGAGGAAAGAAGGGAAAAGGCTTTAACCCCACAAAGTCACACGTGAAAAAAATAAATTTTGGCCAACAGAGAGTCCCATTTTAAATTCTGGACCCAAAAGTATAATCAATGGCTGCCTGAAGATTGGATTTCTTTTTGTTTTCATCAGCTGTCAATGTGTGTCCCCACTGCATACTTACATTTTCAAGAACACGCAAGCAGCGGTCCACCTTCCTCAATTTGTCCAGCAAAGGCTCAGTCCACTCAACAATATAGTCATCAACTTGACGGCAACAGTCACATATCGTTTTAACAATATGTTCAAGACCCCCCAGTTCTCTCAGTTCCTCTTTAAACCATTCTCCAGCACGTCTAGAAGTAAGACTTAGTAATGTCTCCATGGCTAGCTGCCCCACCTGCAACCAAAGAGGATCCCAAAACCTGAAAGCTCTATAATATGTAGAAATTAACTTGTTCCATGGAAGGACTTGGTTCTTTGAACACTTGTTCATTAACCTCTTGATTCCTTCTTTAACTGACAGAGTTCATAGCCTTAGAAACCTATAATGCCCAAATATTAAAACTAGCAGGAAAAGGTTCAGTCAGAATCATGCCTTAACTCTCTGATCTTTCATTGCACTCAGTCAAATTCATTACTAGCACACGGGTTACACAAAATTCATTATGCAAAAATTACTTTCCCATTCACTTAGAGGTAATAATTACAGATGTGGTGATGTGAGTTAATGCACAAATATAAATGTAACAGGACGAGAAAGGAAATATATATTACACACACATGTATATATGTACGCACATGTATACATATTTCTTTATATGATGATAGAAAAGTGTTCTGAGTACCATTCAGAAGAATGAAAGGGCATCATATCCCACCAAAACCATATTTACAGAGGCATTTATAGACTCCATGCTTGAGGCATAAAGGAAAACATTTTTTCTTAAAAAATTGAGTGTCCCATTTCCAAATATGCCTTCAAATTTGTCCTAACCGTAAGGTACTTTGCAGAGAAAATCATTGGAAAAAGAAATTTATAGAAAGCGTTTAATAACAGCTATTTCACAGTCATTTAAAAATCATGAAAAGTTAAACAGTTCTGTATAGTGTGACTGGTGAAGATTTTTCTTATATATACATATAATGTTAATAATATACAATTGGGTATAAAATCTAAAGTTTTTGCAAATACAGTGGGTGTTCAAATACAATAAAATATTTGTAATTGGTGTATTAGAGTTTACTGGAATTTATAAACCAAGTAAGTTCGTGTCCTCTTTCTTATTATTTATCTTGATGGGGATGAAAATAATAAGAAAGAGGACACGAACCTACTTGATTTATAAATTCCAATAAAATCTTAACAAACCAATTACAAATACTTTATAGTATTGGAACAGCCACTGTAGTTGTAAAAACTTTAGATTTTATACCCAATTGTACATTATTAACATTATATGTATTTACACCGCTGTCCAAAAAGTATCTGACTTTATTTTTTTCCGCTGTAATTAATGGCCAAAGGGGCAGGGAAACTGAGCTTAGTGGTAGAAGGGACTTTCATGCGCATGCATGATATTATGCTGACTTGCAACACCGCCGGATGCATCTGTGGCTGTCACCTAGCGAAGTGGTGTAACATGTGTTTGTTGCATTCTCATTTTGCTCAAGATGACACAACACTTGGAGCAGTGATACTGCATCAAGTTTTGTCAGAAACTTGGGGATACCCAAGCAGAAACAATCCAAAAAATTCAGCAGGTTTTCGGCGATGATACAATGGGGGGGTCACTCAAATTAAAGAGTGGTTCAACCGCTTTAAAGATGGCTGTATGTTGGTGGACACTGACCAGAGTTCCAGGAGACCATCAACAAGCCGAAATGCTGGTTTCATTGAAAAAGTGAGGACACTGATCATGGAGAACCATTGTCTGATCATCCAGGAAACTGCTGATGAGGTTGCGATCAGCAGAGGTTCCGCAAACACAATTTTACTGAAGATTTGGGCATACAAAGAGTGGCAGCAAAATTTGTGCCCAAGCTGCTTTTGCCAGAGCAGCAAGAACTCTACCTTGAGGTCACACAAGACATGCTGGAGTGCCAACAGGGATCCTGAGTTCCTGAAGACTGTGATCACTGGTGACGAGTCGTGGGTGTACGGATATGACCCGGAAACCAAGGTGCAGGCATCACAGTGGAAGAATCCAACAACACCGAGGCCCAAAAAAGCACGACAGGTTCGGAGCAATGTGAAGGTGATACTGACCGTACTTTTATGATTACTGAGGTGTTGTGCATTATGAGTACACACCACTAGGCCAAACTGTCAATAAGGAGTACTACAAGGAAGTCCTCTGCCATTTTCATGATGCAGTTCGGTGCAAGAGACTGGAGTCGTGGGATGCATGCAACTGACAGCTGCATCATGACAACGTCCCAGCTCATTCTTCACACCTCATCCGGGGATTCCTGGCCAAGCATGGCATTCCGCAGGTTTGCCAGGCTCCCTACTCTCCTGATATGGCTCCTTGTGATTTCTGGCTGTTACCGAGATTGAAGACACCACTAAAAGGAACCCGTTTTGATAGCCATGAGGACATCATACAGAACGTGATGGTGTAGCTGCACATCATGCCAAAAGAAGCCTTCCAGAATTGCTTCCAGCGAAGGAAGGACCACTGGACTAAGTGTGTAAAGTCACAGGAGGCCTACATTGAAGGGGATTAGGTATTGTAACCACCCAGATGCAGAACTTTGTTTTCCCAGCCCAAGGTCAGATACTTTTTGGACAGAGTAGTATTTTAACGATCAGAACATATATTGTAATAGTAACTTCCAACTGTATTGATGCAAAGGTGTCCCTGATGATTGTCTCTGAAGACTGAAACATGTAAGGGCATGAATAACTGAAATAAGAAAAATCTTCATCAGCCACACTAGACGCAACTGATATTGTTAGTGTGATGGACCAGAATGAAACAAATCAAATTCATTTAAAAAGCTTCATATAATGGAAAAGACGAACTTGTGACAGCCAATAATCTTCAAAGCTTCTAGAGAAGATCTCTTTATAATAGCCATACGTGTACATCCACATGCTCAAAATCATCTTTCACATACATGAAAGACAATGAAGAGTGCTCTTCAATGCATTCAGATCTAGACTCAGAAATTTTTCCTGTGTTAATATAGTTTATACCAGTTACTAGATGGCAACACAAGTTCTTACAATGCCAACATAAAAAAGATTATGCACCATACAAGAATAAAAATCTGCTAAAATATCACTCACTATTTCAAGGTGCACTTAAATATGAACTTACAGTTTCACTATGATCTGCCGCAAACAGCATTTGGCCAGCTCAATTTGTTTGCAAGCCACAATTTTTCAAAAACCTGACAGGACTTTGTGGACACACTGTATGATCACAAAACCTAGTTTCTCTGCCAAAATGGTCTGGCTGAAAGAACAATCTAATCAATTTCCAATTGGATTTAAAAGTGTAAATCCATTCCAACATTATTTTATTATGCTGTTTCATCTGCAGAGATCATACAGCATCAAATGAGATACAGAATTCTTGGTTTCTGAACTTTTCCTATTGTCCAGAATTCTAGGTAGTAGAGTGTCCTCTATTACCTAGAATTCTGGATGATGGAAAAAGTCCAAAAACCCACTAATTCTGTGTGTCATCCACCATCATCAGAACCCTTTAGAATCAAATGTGTTGGAATGACAATAATGGATGATGGATAAATAAAGAATAGTTCAAATGAAAAGTACTATCCCACCATTCGCCTGAAGTAACTGAAAACCCTCTTTGTCTTCTTTCTTTGACTCTATGGCCCTTTTACTTTAGCCTTAGCCTCCCTTAGAATTACTGTTTATACTGAAAATTCTCAGTCAGTGTCACTAAGATTAAAACTGGGTCCACACGCACACACAAAGCTACTAATCTATTCAGTACTTTTGTTACATACAGCTACAGCAGACTGCTAATTATCCAAATTAATTAATGACAAAGGTGGTTTGGATAGTCAAAAATTAAATGTATTAAATTCTCATTCAAAAAACAACATTATAATAATAAAAAATACAAAAATTGAAATCAAGTGAAACATAAAAAATTAATATGAGGAAGAGCCAGTAAATACATAATAAATGGAAGTAAAACAGTAGTAATGGATGTAATAGGTTTCTATGTGTATCATTAAGTAGCAACAAAGTTTAGGTAGCAGACGTTCATGTTGAGAGGCTGGTTTCAGTATTGAGGTGTGTACCACCAAAGAGTGGCATTCTGTTGCGCAACTCTGTCTGCAAAAGGACTCAATGCAAAGGTTAATCATAAACAAATGTTTCCCATTAATGGTGGGAAATGTTTGTCACATAAAGTGGTTCACAACTGGGTTGAGAAACATGGCAAACGTTTTGTTGAAGACAAAGAGATCAAAATAGGGGTGCAGAATTGGCTGAGAAAATAGTCAGAAGACTTCCATGCTGTGGGTTTCAAAACACTGGTAAAACGATGGGACAAGTGTATCAATGTTCGTGGAAGATATGTTGAGAAATAAAGGTTTTTTCCAGGTTCAACTATCACATGCTTTATGTCCATTTGTGGCCTATTTACTGACTCTCTCTCATAAATATAATTACAATTTTACATTTTCAAACACCTTACTTGAAAGGTTCTAACAGTGATGTTTGTTTAGCAGATGCAAGCCTTGGTTGTGGTGAACCACTTAATTGTCAATTCAGATAATCAGGATTAAAAAAATTGGCATTCTATGGTACTTTCATTCTGCACATATATAACACATGCACAATAAATCACTGATGGTCATGGTGCAAGGGCCAGTCAAGGCCTACCCCTCATTCATTCATATACAGAACACATTCAAATTTCTTGACTCACCGTTATATTATCCAGATTCAAGTGCTTTGCATGACCTTGACTTTGGATCTCAGCACATAGCTCTCGCACTTTCTGTTTGTTTTTATGCAGTTGTGTACTGCTCATGCCACAGTCATCAAGAGCATTGCGATGACTTGCATCAGATTCAAGCAAATTCAGCATTAGTTCCAGACTGTGCCGATCCAGATCCATGTTCAGTCGATCCTGACTAAGCACGAACATAACAGTGGCTGTGCAAAGTCCAAGGCTCTGGAAATGAACATGATATACCTCCTAATACACGGTCATTAAAATAACAATAATGTGCCCGAGAACCACATCATGAACAAATATATGCTGCAGGGAGATAAAGGCTTGTGCGTATTTCAGTTGACAGTCATTACATTTTAGTTGGTAGATTCCGCTTTTATTAAGAACATCGATAAAAGGTAAAGCTGCCCCTGTGCATCGCTAATTAAGTGCTATGCCATGAAGATGTATGGGGGAGTGGATCTATAGAACCACATTTTCTTGACCTCAGCACCAACTGGTGGTGAGTGGTCAGCTTCATGACCCTGCTGCTTTAACCCTGGTGAAGGAGCTCCTAGTACTCATCGGATAGGAGGCTGAATGGGCCCCAAAGCCAGTCTGAATGATGTGGAGAACAGAAAATTCTTGATCATACTGGGACTCAGAACTCCAACTCCTAGGTCATCCAGCCCATACAGTCACTATACTGACTACACTATACACTCATGAGAATGTCAGTACTGAGGTTTTTTGGTTTTAGATTATTACATATTTTTGTATTTCTGGTTTTGAGGAGTGTTTATATGTTTGTGTTTTTGAATACAACATAGGACGACAAAATTATCAACAGATGATAAACACATATGTACAGACTAATGCAAAAACACCACACAAAAACTATATTTTTTTATTATTATGATACATGTGCTTAATTTTGCAGATGAATGAAATCAAATAAGCACAAAGCCATCAATATGGAACACATCTGGAATTCGCAGTACCGTGCCCCCCACAATATACACATAAACCACATACATAACACACATGCCACACAAAGTACAGGGGATGGACAAAAATATGGAAACACCCAACAAAAAACACATTACCGTGACTAACATGGTGTAGGACAACCTCAGGCTTGCAGAACTGCCTGCAGTCTCCTTGGAATGGATAAATAGAGGTCCTGTATGATTTGCAAGGGAATCTTGTACCATTCTTCCTGCAAAACATTGGCAAGTTCTGTTAACAATGATGGATGTGGATAGCACGCACACAGATTGCTCTCCAAAACAGACCATAAAGGCTCAATAATATTGATATCTGGCGATTGTGGGGGCCATGGCAGACGTGACACTTCATCTTCGTGCTCAGAAAACCAGTCCTGGACGATGTGAGCTGTGTGAACACAGGCACTGTCGTCTTGGTAAATGACATCACCATTGGGGAACAAAGTTTGCACCATGGGATGGACCTGGTCACCCAAAATGGTCACACAGTCGTAGGCACTGATATGACCTTGCAGGGTAATGATGGGTCTGACAGAATACCACAATATGTCTGGCCATACCATGATCAAACCCCAGCCATGTTTCACTCTTGGCAGCAAACAATATGGATTGTAAGCTTGGGATGGTGTTCTCTAGGCGTAAACTCGGCCAGAAGTCGGAAACAGTGTGAAGGTGGACTCATCCGACCAAATGACCATCTTCCATTGCTCCATAGTCCAGATTTTATGACTTCGGCACCACACTCTCTTCTTAGTGGCATTTTGATCACTGACGAGTGACTCTGGAATTACAGCTCATCCAGAAATACCCTGCTTGTGGAGTTCCCTTCATACTGCTTTGGTGCTGACAGGGTTTGTGAGTGTGACATTCAGTTCAGCAGTCACTTTTGCAGCTGTAGTCTTCTTATTTTTCGTCACAATCCTATGCAATGTTCATCTGTCTCGATCACTCAAGACACATTTCCGTCCACGCTGGTCTTTATGGGATGCGGTTTTCCCAGTTCTCCTGTATGCGGTCATAATCTTGGATACTGTGGCTCGCGAAACACCGAAAACCTCGGCTACCTTGGTTACGGAAGCACCCACTATATGGGCCCCAACAATTTGCCCGCATTCGAATTCTGTTAGTTCTGACATGATGCACTAAAAACTGCACAGAACACTGTCTCGACAACAAATGAAGCTTGCAACATATTGCGGAGGTTGTACGGGTAGTGGTATTGGGCAGATAATCTAGCGTCACCTACAAACGTCGCTAAAATAAACACTTCAATTCAGGCATGCATTTCACAAGGTGTTTCCATATTTTTGTCCATCCCCTGTATATACCCTATACACAGCATCAATTCAACACATCACCAACCTTCCTATGCCTTTCTCCCTAGCAACCTTCCACTATAAATCCTATACAAAGTAGGTTAAAGGTTAAGTTTTAACTTCCAGTGTTAATGCATACTATAACAATAGTAAACATAAACTTACCTACATTAATATTCAATTCAATTCAATATAATTTACTATATCATATTTGAGGAACACGTTGTGTAAGAAGGGACTAGTAACAATGGTTACACTGTGCAAGCAGACCAATGATGAATGTTGACAACATTTTAAATAATTTTTAAGCCTGATGTCGACCATATATGTGAATAAATGCTGATTTCATCAATAATACTTGCCTCTTCAGTTGTTTATTTATAGGTTGTGTTGTGACAGATGGACTGATATACACAGCAATCATAACCACATTGACATAAAGGTTATTTGGAGGTTATTTAGTATATACATAAGACACAACTATTATGAACTAAACTTTCTTGATTGGTGATGTGTGCTAATAATGTGAAGCTTACAATTTGAGTTCTGCACAAACACTACACTCAGTATGCAAAAAACCAAGCACCATTCATGGATGCCAACACTGCAAAACTAACTATGGCTATCTCTATCTTGCGTAAGTATTCCTTCTAGAATTAGAAGCCCACTATCGACCTAACATGTCACTGATAGCATTATGTATGTAGACTGTAAGGTTTCAGGTTATCATGGCAGTGAACATGAAGATTACCAACTTTACAGATATAATGCCATATAGTCTGAAAGAAAGTTAGCAACATTTCAGAAGAACCTATTGCATCCATCATCAGGGAAGAAGATGGAGGCCACAGGTTCCACCAAAACGTTCGCAACTTTTTACCACACTATATGATATCAAAATTCAGGAGACAGTAATCTTCATCATGTATGATTAATTCTTAAAACCTCAATTATTTCAAGTCTTATAAATGGATAAAATTTCTAGTTTCCTCTCATTCAGAAGCTGAGGACATGACTGTAATCTATACCTTTATCCTAAATCGATAAATAACAGAGCAACTACCTAAGGCTGTGGTCCAAATTTACTCACCTGATCTTTGGTGGCATCATGTAAGGCACGGAAGAACTTGGCCACTGTCCCATGAGCCCTAACATGCATCCTGAAGGCAGGGGCCATGCACTTGGACGCTAGTGTTATAGCTGAGAGGCACCTGTAAGCCAACAGGGCATGTAATATTAATCTGTAAGTTATTTAAAAATTATGCATCAACTACAGAGGCTATTAGTATCCAGTGACATGACACAACACAGTGGTTATGCATGGGCAAATGGTAAGGATGTTAGATAATGTAGTTGCACTTTACAGTACAAAATTGTCACTGCTGAGGGAAACTATGGAAAACGTCAATCAGGATGGCCAATATCCCATCCAAGATTCATACCAAACGCCTCTCAAATACAAATTATGCCCACCAACACTGAGCAAATCTTCCTGATGACAAAACTAAATACCGAATAACAGTGATATCCATTACCCTGATACAGAAAATACTGCCACATGGTTCCTATGCAGCGCGACAAATAACTTCACGTGGGTCTCGGATTTGGCGAATATTTATTGAACACACTCTCTTACACACTCAAGTACAATTATTATCCCCTTATAACATCGCCAGTATCACAATCTACAATCTTCACTCTTCCAGCTCTGTCTTCAAAGGCTGGAACTTCACTGTCTTCAATGGCAATTATCTCAAGACTGACTCGGCGAATGCATTAACCCCATTATATATCCATGGCCATTTCTATGCAATGAACCTTCTGTTGTCTTGGAAACACAATACCTTGTAGAATACCGGTAACATGTTTGGTTTCACAACGAACCTTCCACCTCTGGGGAAACACATTTGTTGCCCAAGGCATTCCCAGGCAATGGCCTGTGTGGGATTTTGTGGCCACTGAAATAACACGTTACAATATGTTATACCAGAATCTACAGGACTAAGTGGGGTAGTATATACCATTCATTTCATACAGTATGGAAAAACGCCACCATACAATTCTATAAGATCAAGTGGAGGTAATGAGAAACTTACAGTACCCACAAGCAATTTAAAAAACTCAGTCATATCTGTATAAATATTTCACTGGTATGAGGATAATGTCATTACCTTATTCAACAAATCAAGTCATGGCAGTATAAATACTGTAGCTGGCATGTAGGAAAAACCATTACCTTATCAAACAAACTGAGTCATATCTATAACCATCAAACCAGTACAAAGAAAATGTCACGACACAACTCCAGAACACCAAGCCACTATCATATAAACATTAACAGGCATCACATATGGAGGAAATTCCACTATCTAACTTACAAAAACCAAGTCAACAGTGTAACCATTATACTGACATGAAGGAAATGAGATTATCTGATAGAAGAAGCCATGCAACAGGTATACATATTACATCCAGTGTGGAGGAAATGTTACTATGAAAACTATGGTTACATTTCTGTAACCAGTTCTGAATTGATTTTTTATGGTACTGGCAGTAACAAACATAAAGCAGAGTATGGCTGACACTGAAAAATGTAACCAACAGAACAAGCCCTCATCAGCTGAAAAGTACTGAATTTGACAACAGTTTCTATTAAGCTTATTTTGAAGATTATTGAGAGAAACTTTTTACACAAGAAAAACTAACAAATCATTAGTATGTCCAGAATATCTGCCAGGGAAACAAAGCATGTTAATACATTCTTTGGTGTTTGATATTTCTCTGAGGTTTTGGGGCAAATCTTGAAGATCTGGGGAAGACAAAATTAGCTCTGTGCTTAGCACATCCAAAGACATAAAAATTAAAGAATGTCATAGGAATGTTACAGAAAATATCTCATGACAGTTCAAAGTTCAGAAACAGAACTGTTTGAAATGTATAGCTAACAGAAAAACCTCTTCTCAGCAGCTTGAATTGAATTACAGCAGTTTTACCAACATCTATAACTATGTGTAACTATGCTTTTATCAATATTATTGTGGAAGCTGAGCATGGGAGGGGCCATGTTTTCTGGCCAGTGGGTGGCTCTTGTGATGTCTGAATTGTTGAGGAAGAAGCCCAGATGACAATGAAGGTCAATGGGTGGTGTGCCTATAAAAGTAGCTGTCAAGCTCTTGTCAGGGCCCCAGCGCAGTTTAGTGCAGAAGCTGAAAGAGTACTGAGTCAGTTCTCAGTACAGTGTAGTTGAGCGGTGCAGACAAGGAAAAGACATCATCAAGGTTTTCAGAGGTCAAATCAGCACAGTGAGTGAGTGAGTGAGTGAGTGAGTGAGTGAGTGTGCGAGCAAGTGTGTAGTCAGTCAGTTCTCTGGGCATGCAGCTCACTCAGTGCAGATGAGTGATTGCAGTATTGTGACCAGTGGCATTACTGTGAATGAATGGACAAAGAACTGATCTCAAGAGCAAAAGTGGTTAGAGACTGAGGGACGGTAACTGCCCCACAAATTGAGAATCACTACAATAAGAATTTAATTACAAATAACTACACAACTTAAAGAGTTCATCCACTGACAACTAAGAACTCATATAACATAACAGAATTACCGAACAAAAACAAAAGCATGCAAAACCAATGAAAATGTTAAGTTAAAAAAGAAAACCTGGAGCTCAAAAACATAAACGCAATTCTTCTGGGGATACTTTATCTTTAAATTCTCATACACTGTTGAGATATCAATGCAACTGTATGCAAATATTATTTTAGATTTTAAAATATAAAAATAATTGCCACACTACTAGCATATCACAGTTATCCACTGAAAAGGGGGATGACATCAAATTTAGTTAGTGCTAGAGCTACAGAGGAAATGTTTGATCTGCATGTGAACTACAGAGAGTTCAACTGAGAGAGATATATGCTGCTTGTAAGAGGAAGCAGAAGTTTATTATGTTACCATACAAGGTACCAGGGGTTTCTGTGCCTATGGTGATGAATCACTAAACTCACAGAACTTCATTACTGATTCCTGCACAAAGACAACAAAGATGTACCATATTTTATGTGAACCACTAGAACTGACCGCCTTCTTATTAGCTGCATGTCCCACGGCATGTAAACATGTTTTATGATACATTCTAAAGTTATGAAGTAATAACCTGTTGCACTCTTACAACACACCATACCACTACATTTATACTGTGTAACAGCACTTGTTGAATGGCACGAGGAAGTTCTTCAACTCCAATTTGTATGTTTTGCATACTGAAACGACAAGTTGGGTAAGGCCTACCGGTTATAAATAGCAGCCATGACTCTGTGCAGCAACCAGTACCAAAGTGAATTACTGCTGAATAATCTGGCAGCTTAATTTCATGCATATATATAAATATAGATGGGCAAAATCTAATAATCAGTCTTGTAACTGGAAGCCCTGATACCAGCAAAATGCCAATTTCTTATACCCAGCATGTTAACAATTTGCAATTACTTATGTATGTTGTTACTCTTACAGAATTAGTGCCATAGCTCAAGTGGTTAGTCGCTGGCTTCCCATCGCAACGGCCCGGGTTCGATCCTGGGTCTGGTCAAGTGGGATTTGTGGTGGACAAAGTGGCACTGGGGCAGGTTTTCTCCGAGTACTTCGGTTTCCCCTGCCAATCTTCATTCCACCAACTGCTCCACAATCACTCTCACCTATCATCTAGGGCAAGGAACTTAGACCCACCCCACTAGTAATAAAAAAAATACTCTTACAGAAGACTGACTATGAAACCTTGCTATTGAATCATATACCCCATTCCAACAGGAACAAATTCAGCCCCCAGATGAAATGATCTGTGCAGGAAAAACCTCCAGATCCTACTATACTGATTACACTGCTTTTTTTGGCTCGGCAAGTGACTGATCATCATATCAGAAAGTTGCATACTGACTGCAAACAAAGCATACAGCATTCTCTCTCCACAGTAGTTATACCTCTGTCATCTTATTGGTTATGTCAAGATGCAAAATATTGTCACTTATTAGTAACTAGACTCAGGGTTTAGATTAGTAATTGGACTTACTAAACTCTTGTATCTTGTAACTGCAAGTAATTATAACGTTATTACTAATCTACAAGCACTCTCCTTCTCACTACAGTACATGCTAAGTCTTCTCCACTTAATGGTTGGCCACAGGAAGAAAAGAACACAAACAACACATCACACACCTGTAGGCCAACACATAAGCACATCAACAACATAAAATCATAGGAACAATTCCACGAAAAACAAGAACACACAATGGTGAGTGCAACCTAAAAATCTGGCAACACAAAACAAAAGAGACATGACAATACAGAGCAAAAGGAGAAATACACACACACACACACACATTTTAACACATAACTCAATTATAATTCAAATTAGAATATTTCAATATTTTTACAAATCTTAATTTTAATATTTAATATATTTTATAACATAAGAGCATTATACAAACAACATGTCTGTACAATACACTCCATGTGTGTAAACATTGGCCAGGGCAGGGAGGTAGAGCAGATAGAAAGAAGGGTGATTGTAAATGATGTGTTCCTGATGATAATAAAAATAGGCTGAAACAGGCACTACATGCAAATGCATGGTGTTTACACCAGAACTGTGTTGACCGAATAATAATAAACTTCTTAGTTTGTTATGTCTTCAGCAGTTATTGCCAGGTAAAAGATTCCAACCATATCGTCTTCTGCTCATGCTGTTGCAAGCCTTCTACCATCTCTCAACTCTCTGTACTGAAACATAACTTTGAGCCATAACTGACTAACTTTCCCCACTTGCCCTTACTATACAGACTCAGCATGCACCACATTGAAAAGACCACGCTGCCTAGCAATGGCCTACTTGTTTGATGATCTATGAGAGTATTTACCAGATATTATAGAGCAACCTTCTCTTCTGGCTCCACTATTCCAAGCTTCAGCCCTCATGTCACAACATATTAATATGACGTGAAGAATATCAAGAACAAACTCAAGAAGGCCATTACACAGTCTAGAGAAATGATGCAGTGTGCCATTAAGTGACAGCGAATTATCAAATTCAGAACTTCAGAATGTGTTGCAAATTTTGTTATAGGCTGCAAGCCATGCTTGAAAAGCAGGGAAAACCCATGGTCACACAGCAAACTACTGCTGCGCTATCTCAAGTAGCATGTTACTGTCTCAATTGAACATTCTGTACAAATCAAACCTGCAACATATTGCATGTGGCTATACCACCACTCTATCACAGATAACTCCACGGTCTGTAATCCACAAGTGAACTATACCGACCTAGCGACCACCACTTGTTGGCAAAGTTAGTGCCAACTTTAGTGGATAGAGGGTGTCACATGGTCAGTGCAACAGATCCCCATGGCTGTTAATCTCGGTTTTCTAGACTGGAGCCGCTACTTCCTTGAAATAGCTCCTCAATTATCCTCATGAGGCTGAGTACACACTGTTCCAGACCCACTACTTCTCAGAAAATCTGGTAGTGCTGGGAATCGAACCCGGGACCTCTGCATCTGTAGCCAGGAACTGTGACCACTAGACCACAGAGGCAGTCATTATAACACAAATACATGTAACAAATAATGGTAACTAAAGAATTTATTTAATATTTTGTAATCACTGCAACCCTGAAATAAATGAGGCATGACAGTGTACTGAACACAGCCAAGGTAGCTTTTCTCTGCAACCAATAAAAAATTAAATTGTGCTTAGCCATGCATGTTTTGTGGGACTGCACAGGGGCTGAGGCTGTGAACTATGACAACTCTTCTGTCTTCCTGGCATTCTTTTGGTGTGTGCATGTGTATATGTATGTATATTAAGTTGATGAGATGGTTGTCTAACATTAACTACTGCCCAAGTGATTCAGAAATACACTCCTACTTTATATCAATTAAAACTATAATAAAATGTTTGGCGAGTTCCAGTAACACAAATGAAGAAATGATTACTGCTATTAACATCCTGAATTGTAAAGGTGGTTTAAGATGGAAACAGAAAATTACATACAATCCTTTCTTCAGTGCAAGAAACTTTACTCTAAAGATGGTAAACTATCTGTCATCAGATGTCTTACACTAGTTAAAGTAAAAAATTATCATTTCTAGATTCCACTATAATTAGAATGATCAAGTCAAGGAGGATGAGGTGGGCAGAGCATGTCGCACGAATGGGGGAGATGACGAATGCATATAGGATATTGGTGGGAAAGCCAGAAAGAAAGAGATCACTGGGAAGACCAAGGCGTAGGTGGGTGGACAATATTAAAATGGATCTTAGAGAAATAGAATGGGATAGGATGGGATGGTATGGATTGGATTGACCTGGCTCAGGATAGGAACCAGTGGAGGGCTCTTGTGAACATGGTAATGAACCTTCAGGTTCCATAAAATGCTGGGAAATTCTTGAGCAGCTGCAGATTTGGCTTCTCCTCAAGAAGGCCTCAGCTCTGTAAGTAAGTAAGAAAGATTCCACTAATTAACAAATCAATCAGTTTTACTGAACCACTGATATATTCCTAGTTTCAACTAATCACAGACCACCTCCGTGGTTGAGTGGTCAGAGTTCCTGGCTACAGATCCAGAGGTCCCAGGTTTGATTCCCAGCACTACCAGATTTTATGAGAAGGGGTGGACCTGGAACAGGGCTCACTCAGCCTGAGGAGCTATTTCAAGGAAACAGCAGCTCCGGTCTAAAAACCATGATTAACGGCCATGGGGGATCTGTTGCACTGACCATGTGACACCCTCTTATTTGAAAAGTTGGCAGTAACTAAACCAAGTGGCGGTCACTCAGTATAGTTCACTTGCGGACTATAGGCCAAGGAGTTTTTCTTTCAACTACTCACAATACATACCTTGTTCCTATGGGGTTATTATCCTGAAGTGCATCCAGAATGTATTCCACATCATCATTAAATTCCTGGAATTCACCTGATTCCTGAATCTGATGAGCCTTCTTTACATTTCTTACTACTGTGTAAAACTGAAACAATGAATTACATAGATAACAATACAGTCTCCAACATTTTTTCACCGAAATTACATTTAGACAAAGCAAACATTTTGAAATCTTACTCCTTTGGCTTTCTTGTTGCATTTGATGCTGGTGATGGCCTCTGCCTCATCATCATGATTGGTTCCAGGAGCAGGCCATGTGACAACCCTGGTGAGTTTAGCAGGTTCAAATTCCTCCTCCATATCACTATAAGTGCTGGTAGCACTAATGGGCTGAGATGACGACAGAGTTCTGGATGCTGATATATCAGCACCTGGTTGGGATCCACCTGCAGCACCATCCTTGTCATCAACCCACTTATGTTTGTATAGGGCCAACCGTTTCTTACTACCATCTGAGAGAAGAGATCGACTTTTAAAAATACTCCCCTTCTTAGTTGCAGGTGAGTTTGTCCTTTCGGCGGCAGCGGTATTACTAGTGCTACTACTGTTGTGTTCGCACTCCGGCTGACTCTGAACTTCATCTGGCTGTGAAGTTCCAATACTTTCAATTTCCTCACCCTTGTCCTTTTCTGCCAACCCTTCCTCTGCAGGTCTGACCTGTAAATCTGTCTCACAATCTGCCTGGGAAGATGCAATTGTGTTTATTTGATCTGCAATGCTGTTACTATCTTCACTGTCTGAGAACAAATCATGATCAAGAACTGCTTTGGAGGGTTCCTTTGGTCCCATGAGCAAGAGTTTCTCAGTGGCAGAAGTGAAATCAACGTATGTGCTGGAAAGAAGTTCCTCAGCTTTCAGTAATTTTTCTTCATCATCTTTATTAAAATCTTTGCAAACGGGTGCTTCAGCGGCTACTGCCCTAACTTCTGCTTCAGCAGCTGGGTCTGTTGGAACTTCAGGAACAACAGTCGTTATGATTTTAGTCTTCAGTACTGTGGGGTACACTGAAGAGGGAATTTCAACATCAGTAATTACACCCTCACCACCACTAATATTTTCTTTTTCATCATGCATAGTTTGTATCCCCTCATACACAGCTTGCTGTTCAGTAACTTCCTCAGTCCTCACAATCTGTTTTTCTGCATACACTTCCTCTTGATTACTGTCACCACTTTGCATTTCAATCTTATCCACTATCACAGGCTCCGAAGCATTATGACTTCGGACTACGACCATGTCTTTCCCCACTTTACTGGACTTCTTTGGTGATGTAATACTGACATAAGATGATTTATCCTTATTATTTTCGTGAGCTGACATTGACCGAGAGTCATGACCAACATCTGCATGTCTTCTTCTAGTACTTCGCACATTATTCTCATTTAGAGACTTCACAGGTGGCTGATGAATGCTTGAAGGTTCCTTGATTTCATTCACAAGATGTGCAGTGCCCTTGCATATCCTCAGAACAATTGGGGGTTTGTTCTCTTCTCTTAGAGGTGCCACAGTCTTGGTAGGACTTGACAGATTCATTGCTTCTATCTGCTCACCCACTGATTCGCCACTTCCAACAGAACCTGAGGTCTTTATTGCTGTTGATGTGAAGAATTTCTTTGACCCACCGCTGCCTGACTGGCTGGATGATGAAGTGTTACACTGTTGTAGCCTCGGACCATATCCTCCCTTCCCATACTTTTTGCCCCCATGTGAACCATAACTTGACTCTGTACTGCGGTTACTTCCCATGTACACGGATGCGTTCAACCTAATTTCCTCTTGAGGAATTGTATCAATGTTCCGACTCTTAAAAAACTTTTTAGGTTTGGGTACAGATTTCACTGGAGAGGTGGCTCCTCCTGCTAACAGCTTACTCTGTAATCCATCGGATTCTGTGTCGAATGAAAACGGATCCTTTGATGGGGTAGGATGTTGTGGGTTACGGTTGCTGTAATCCATTCTCATTCTCTTGTTACTAAGAATTTCATCTCTTCGACCTGTAAATAATTTATGTTCATACATCAAAATTAAACCACAAGTAAATATGATAAATTCTTAAGTTTATGTACAATAAATTTATATAACGCTAACTCAACTGATCTAATTAACTCAAACAAAATACCTTCCTATCTCCGTCAAGTTGCACTGGGCAGAATATTATAACTCAAATATTGTCATATTTACTACATTTACAGAAACATCCTAAACTCACCATTGAAATTTGTACTTCTGAGAGATGTACATGAAATGACACCCCATTTGCCTACAGTACCAGCAGACTTTGCAGCTGAAGGGCGATTGCTGTTCTCATGGAATAGTTTGTCAAACTGAATGCTTGCCTGAGAGACGGCATTCAATTTGCGGTTGCACACTTTGGAATATCCACGCGACATGTTGCTTGCCATCATTCAGAACTAGAGCCCTTTGTCAACTGGCTTCATAATTACCTGTCTTTAATTCAACACAAAAAAAATGAACATATTAAACTACTCTGATTGCAAAGTCACATGAAAAGAAAAACGCAAAAAAAATGCCTTAACAATTCAAGTTCAGGGTTAGGAGATGCCTCTGTAGATCAGAATGGAAAGTTATGTCACTTATTTTGAATAAATACAGACACAATATGACTGCCAAGCACAATGGAAACCCAGCAGCAGGGGTCTGTCAAGATCTGCTCTACAGATACAAGCAATCAAATGACAAAGTTTAACTACCAGATTAATAAATACAAATAATAGGAACTCAGGAAAATAAACTTGTTCTAGAAACATGAAAAATCTGAGGTGAACTGCATGATGAATACTCCTTGTATACATGAGCAAAGAAACAGTTATTTTATAAAAGGTTAATTGATTCCGTCCAGTGTGACTGATGGAGTTTTTTCTCCTTTTTAATCTTTTATCCTCGACATGTTTCAGTCTTATAGACCATCTTCAGAAGGATATCAATACAATTAGAAACCACTATTTATAATATAGTTAGTGTGATGGACCAGGTTGAAACAATTCAAACAGTTATTTTCTCACCTGCACACAGACATCTTTAGTGATAAAGCAAAATGTAAATTCCACATCCACGAAAACAATACTTGTGGATCATTTTTAAGGAAAATGAAACAGCTTTACTATACTGTGACCAGGCATGTCTTCCTTCATTCACACCAACCAAATCCACTAAAAACTCTCTTATTCTCATTCCCTCAGTAGGTAAGTGAATTAAGATTTCATTAACATAAAATCATCTAATACAACTGGTTACCATACTGGGAGGAAAACCAAGTCCTGTATTACAGGAGAAGAAATAGAAATAGAAGTTCTATTTGCTTCTGTAGCAATTCTGTCTGGACTACCCTTCCAAATACAGAAACCACAATTTCCATGGGGGTCTAGTTCCAACAGTCCTGTAACAGGAATTCAATAACTTTTCTTTTAATAGAGGCCATGAAATAATGGTCAGGCTTGTCGAAATAATAGAACTGTTTTATTTTACTGTGTATGCATTTGCTATTCCTACAGTGCTGCTGACAATATAACATTCATAGTTGACTCTAGTATCATGAATATAAACAGAATTCGAAAAGCAACTTTTAATTTTATAACACAGAGAGCAATATGAACTAAAAATAAACCCATCTTCTTTAAGTCCTATTATGGTTTAAACAAAACACAACTTGATGTTTATATTGCCCCATGCGTCCCTGAACTATACAAAATTCATGTGTAATAAATACTGCAATCTAAAACATAATACGTCACATGTTCCATTCAATTCACAAACTCACCTAGCCATCATTCCGTCCCGTAAGGAAGAACCTCAACTGTTCGTTATGAATGACACAAATACAAATCTAGCGTAAGTCGCCATGTTTCAGACTGAATGTTCAACAAGGTGCCCATAACGGGGTTAACATATCTACAGATAAGCGTATGAACATATTAATTTGTTTACATCGGAATCAGAGACTATTTTCATTCACGACACACATTTTGTAACATTCTGCATTATTTACACAATGCTACCTAATCATCTATACTAACTTTCAACTCTATCTTCGTTCCTTGTCTACTTTCGTAACAAACGAAAGTGTACGAACCACAACCGAACACCAGTGGTATCTATTCAGAAACTTGCACAAAAGTAACATCATATAGAACTGTCATGTCATAGTCGGTCACGTCGCTCATAGTGTATAACCGCACACGCATACATACACGCACACACATGCACATAACCTTGCCTACAAACGAATCATCTCTCGGATCGCGAAGGAAGCTCATTCCGCTCATTCCAGTGCCCAGTTCGAAGATTCCGTACGTCATCAGCACTGATCAGCACTCACTTACTGTCCTTTACAGGTATGACAGCACGGTCAATAATTGTCATTCAGTGAAGTAATGTTACAATTCAATGGTGAATAAAATTGTTTAAAAATCTGGTGTTGAAGATAGTTGACTAAGCCATGACCACATTGAGAAGCAATGAATCCCGAAACGAGTGTTCATATATGAAACTAAAAATGTATAGAACAAAGCGTCAAAACTCAAAACGCCACAACATATTTTAAATAAAAATGCGGAAAGACGATCTACCTGCTAGAGGTCTTTGCAACATGTGCTGCTTATAAATGCCTGATTTTCAACTTCAAAGGACGTAATATACTCTTCTTCTGCGGGGCTAATGGGGAAACTACTTGTTCGACAACAAAATACGATTACTGAACATGACCTGAACATAATTCAATTTACATCTTCGCAGTTAAATTTCCAAATATCTACTTTAATATTATCTTCTCATACCATACAGTGCACGCATCTGCAGAACTGTCTACGGATATTACGTACCTACTAGTCACTGTATACCGTTCATTCTAATAATGCACATGTACTGCTGGTAGATATTGCTGCATGAAAGAAATCCAATTCAATTCAGTTTATTTAAACATTCCGTTGACCCTTTGTGGTACAATAATGACCAGTAGATGTGGAATTAGTGACATACTCTTCTTCTGTGGGGCTTATGGGGAAACTACTTGTTTGACAACAGAGTATGATTACTGAACACGATCTTAACATAATTCAATTTACATCTTCGCAGTTAAATAATTAAATAATGACCAGTAGATGTGGAATTAGTCACAGACAAAACCAGGAAGTCGCATCACATTAACCAGATACGAATATAAATACATCAATAATTCAACTCCCCAATACAGTGTCTCAGACATTGGTCTAATATCTAAAAGCAGATTATTTATTATGACATTACATCAATTATTATCATCCATGTATGTTGTAGCAAAATAGAAAGGGGAGGGGGATAACGCAGAGCATAAAATATATATCCTTAATGTAGAATGTCACAGGAGGAACGGCCAATATGATGGGCGGTCACAGTCGTCACAGTGTCGTCCATTCTAAGCAAAAAAAAAAAAAAAATGTATTTGTACATATATCCTATTCCGAATGGTTTCCGAGATAGAGCTATTTCACTGTGCAGTTCCAAAATTGTTAATGAAAGAGATATTACATACTGTTTACCGGTATCTATTGTTAAAGTGACAAAGCTGGTACAGCTTACCTAGTATAACACATTTTCAAAAATTCCACTGTCAACATCAGTGCACTTTGCAACTCATGTGAGAACAACATACGATGTCATTATCTCCAGTCACAATGGCAAACCAATATTTCACATCGATTCACATGCGGGAGGGCAGGACAATATTGGGTGTACAGTGTACAGTGAAATAGCTCAGCCTCAGAAATCGTTCGTAAAAGGACACACACATACATACATACACTTTCTTGCTTAGAGTGACTGATACTATGAAACTCCACCAGAATACTGACCTTTCTTTCTGGGATATACTGTATAGCTGTGAGACAGAGACATTAAAATGCCTCTGATGACCGAATAGGCTGAAACACAAAGCCGACAGAGTGTGACACTTAACGTTTATGTGCAGCATTATGTATGTATGTATGTATTTATTTCGTCTCTATAGATCATTGTTACATGATACAGGACAAGTCCGTTACTGTATATTGGCTGATTACAATAAGAGAATAAAGTTACAATACTTAAAATTCATGATTTATTTAATCCGTCTTGCAGTGCATACACTCATTTATCTCCTTCTCTCCCTCGCACTACATGTTTCGGCATAATAATGCCATCTTCAGGTGCTTACTTATCCACGTCAAACCAGTTCATTGCATGCCATGTTCACACATTAAAATAACTAAAATATGTATCTATCATATACATTGTCAAACGTTAAAAATATTAAAATTGTTCAGGATACCACATCGCTACGTCACCCCTCACTACGTCAGTCACGCCCATTCTCCTTTGTTGGAGCACTCCTTCA